GAACACGCTTGTTAGGACATGATAATGAGGGTTGTTGGGATGGAAGAGCCACCACGGTTTCCTGAGTCTGACCGAATGGTGGTACCTTGGGCTGGTTTGTTTCGATCAGGAGTGCCCTTACAGCTCGTTTCTTGGCCATCTCTTGCTCAGCGGTTAGAGGGATCAATCTGATTTGGGGCAAGTTTGGGTCCGGTTCAGGAGAGGCTTCCAACAAAAAGTCAATTACCTTGGTCTTTCGTTTACCGCTATATCGGTAGGTCGGCTCAAAATCCAGTAGCTCGGTCCAACTTCGGTTTGGATATCGCAGCGCGGCGCGAAGAACGTTCAAATTGGGGTAGCTGTATTGGGACTTAAGAAAGTTTAAATCTACATGAAGGAAGACAACAGTTAGTGTGATTTTAGATGAGAAAACCGAAGTAAAAAAAGGCATAGAATGAAGCCGAGGTAATTCTACTGGCTACACCCTTATTCTAATTTATTCTGTCGCCAGGGATCTGGGCTTGTTGGTCCTCAAAATTTCCAGATACCCAGAGGAAATCATCATCGTTCACATCTTTATCCGGGGTATCCTTTATTATCTTTTCACGCCGGCGTCTTATTCTTAAATAATAGACCCATCCATCTTCGGCGAAGCCTATAGAATATTGATGGAAGAGCTCGGCTAAACCGAGATTAAAGTCAGCCCGACGGTTTAGCTCGGCAATACCATTTATTATACGGTAATAATTGGTGGAAAGTTGGGTTGGGCAAAAGGTTGGTCTGCCTAAGGAATTCACAGAGAAGAGGCTGTACAGGGAATCTTAGTCCGATTTCTGCTATGGACAAAAGGGTAAAGGGAACGAAGCCGTGTTTTCCCCATGGTATGATATCCAGGTCGGCTAAGGTGAGATGGACATCATCAGGGATGTTATAATCCTTTTGGAATTCAGCCATGGCACCTGGTGAGTTAACTAAGAACCTATACTGTCCCATTTGCGGTTTAAGTTATAAATAAATTAAACAGGAGTATTAGCTCGGTCGAAATATGATGCTGAGTAGCATGGTTGAGCGCTCAAAGGAGTGCCTAGGCAACCTAAGTCTGCAAAGTAAAAAACAAAGGTGTTAAGCACAGATCGCTCGACCGTACTACAAAAAACAAGGGCAAGATAAATGAAGTCTTAGCTCGACTACGCAAGATGTTGTCAATTTTTAGCTCGGTTTGAGCAAGAGGCTTTTTAGCCCGGTTGAGCCTTTGGGGCAACATCCTTAGTACGGTTGGTACTAAGGAAGCTGGTTTAGCATCAAGTTTTAGCTCAGTCGGTAATTATGGCTTTTTAGTGCGGTGGTGTGCAAACCTAATCTAATTCGCTAACTCGGCTAGGCAAAGCACAAGGTATTTTGGACTTATTGAAACTACAAACGAATGTTAGTTCGGTTGTTTAGTTTTGCTGGGTTCACACCTACTACAAACAACATCCTAGTTCGGTTGAAGTATAATTTTGGATCAAACGCGTTGTTCTTCAGATTATTCATGAATATAATGGTTTTTTTTAGAGTTTCTTTCCAGAAAAATGGAAACTAAAGTGGTGTGTTTTGAAAAAACATATGAGTATAATGCTACATGCTACCAAAAAGTAAGAAAATGAGCAAAGATTCAGTTACTTACTACTGTAAAGTGAATGATCTAAGAGTGAAACAGCAGAGGCATTAGCCAAAGATGCAAAGCTTCACAGATAAAATGATGAGGAAGAATGAAGGCTCAAAACGAGAGAGAGAGAAGGTGAATAGTGCAAGCGAATGATTCAAAAAAGTAGGGTTTGTTTTATGGAAAAAGAAGCAAAATGGCGAGACTGTTCAAACTTTTGCGAAATACGAAGATGGCGTGACAGCTACGCCAAGCAAATGACAGTTCGCCATGTGTCCTAGGAATGGGAAGTGATTCAGTTTCAGTACGACTGAAGAGACATTTTGTAACCGTACCAATCGGTAGCCCGGCGGCATACTAGCTCGGTGGAAAGGCTTGTTTTTTAGCTCGGCTGGAAAAAGATAGTCCCTATCATGCTGCGCAGATGGGATTAAGGGGCAATTGAGAGGGTAATTTATAAGTAAATTGGGCCGAGCTAGGTAAATGGGCCGATCTGTGGGTCATTGTAAGAGAGGCCGAGTAAAAGGGCCTAGAAGGTAGCTTGGTCCAAAAGAACTCTGCAGTTAGCCTGGTCCCAGAGAGCTCTGCAGTTAGCTCGGTCACCATACTCAGAGCGGTAACAGTTAGCTCGATCATACCCTTCTGAACCAAGGTATGCTGAGCTTTTCTCAGGACCTTGATACGGGTTAGCTCGGTCCAGGCTCAGTATGGTCAGCACGGTCTTAGCCAGAGAAGCCGATATACGTATAGTGGAGGAGAGGACTGAGCTAAGTAAAGCTCGGTCATTTCATCCAGTTTAGCATGGCTGATATAGCTCGGTCGTTTTGTCATACCGCCGAGATAAAATCATCTCACTTGGTTTAAGCAGTGAGGAGGGTGTTGAAGAATAAGTATTATCTTTCAGGAATGTGATTCCTAGGAGGACTTTGTATGGAGGAATAAGAGTCCTACTAGGGCTGTGCCACGCGAAACCTATAAAAGCTCACAACATCACCCATGGAGAGGTAACACAACTTTGATTCCCGAATACACAGAGCTTTTTGTCTATTTGTCCATTTTGCTGACTTAGGCATCGGAGAGGTATCCGTCACACACCCGTCGACTAGCTCACATTTATGTTTTCAGGGAGTAAAGCGACGTCATACGAAGGAGCGCAAACTTGATCAACAGGATTATACGAGAAGGTTTATTTCTTTCCCGTACAAGTAGGATAAAATATTTAACTTGAACAGTGAAATATATTGTAATGATATACACTGAACCTCACAATTAGATAATATAAACTGAAGCTCACAAAGAAAAATTATAATGACACAGAACTATAAAAATTCATAGCATGTCTATAACTTCAACAAATTGTAATGCTATTATCAAACTGTAGGTCACAAAGAAATTTAAGCTGAAAAACGGAGAATACACACTGAAACTCACAAACAAAATAGAAATTGTAATGACATTACCAAATTGAAGCTCACAAAGAAAATAAAAATTGTAATGATATAATGAAATTAAAAGATTGGTATATTTTATAGAGCACAACAGCAACGGTAAGTTCTCAAAATACTTTGTCAACCCAACGGTAAGTTATTGGAATTGCTAATGTAGAACGGTTACTTCTCAATTCAAAATTTATATGTATATAGGATGTAACTTTTTCATGTTGCACTTTCATGGGAATTTAAATTTATATCAACCTTCAATTTATTCCTAGTCCACAAAAGTAACCTACCTATTTGAACCAGTTCACAGGCCAACAGATTGAGGCAAGTGTGCATGCTCCGGCCGACCGGTGGGTCAACCGGCCAAACGTCCGGCCAGTCGGTTGACTGATTGGCCTACCCCCAACGTTACAGCACAGTGAAATGGTGAAATCTCACGCTTATCCTCAGTTTGATGAAAGTTTTGTTCCGTTCTCAGTTTGATATCAATTTGGTAAAACCACTGGAGAGAGAAAAAATGACTTTTTTCATCAAATTTGAATTTGATGCTTAATATGATGCAACGTTGGAGATGGTCTTATTGCCTATTTCTGACTTTGGCAATGTCGCCTCCTCAGTCTCTAACTCCGCTAATCATAGTCTCTTCAACCCCCAACCCCGTCGACTGCTACCTCTCCAACCCCCATCATAGCTCATCTCTTCTCTCATTTTCTTCTTCTTCGCATCTCTCTCTCTCTCTCTCTCTCTCTCTCTCATTCTTCATGTCTCTTTTCTTCTTCGTCAACAACTCACGTTGCTCTTTCAGCCATCACTGCAACTCAGGCTACCGCTGCAACTCACCTTCTTGTCGCTACAAATCGCAATCGGCGCTGTTAGAAATCGCAATCTAGGGTTTAACATCATTTGTTTAAAAGAAAAAAGATGATAAAGGCTAGAGAAAGTATAGGTAGTAACGAGAGAAGGCAAAAGCGAGAAGGGAATAGGGATGGAGAGGGGCAATGATTGAAGGGAGTAGCAGCCGACAATGGTGAGTGGTTAGGGTTAGGATTAGGGTTTTGAGTTTATTAGAGAAGATAAGGATAATATGGTATTATATAAAAATTAGTGGTGTGTATTAAGACAAAGTCAATATGTTCAATTTGTGTATAGTGTGAACAGAGTAAATGGTATTTATTGAGATAAATTGTGGTGTTTGAATAAAATTTTCCAAAAGTATATTTCAGCAAAATATATATATATACACATACGTTTATAGTTAATTACATGAAAAATTATATTACACACACCCTACACCATATGCACATTTAATTATGCTATTTTCTTCTTTAATTATAATCAATTTTCTTTTTTAATTATAATATTATTTTAAGATATTTGATTATGACTTTTTTGCACTTAGTTAGTTATGACTAAAAAAAATTAAAATTATACTATTTTTTTTTATTATTACAAAATATATACCATACACAACCTTTAAAAATGTGTACCTTAATCGTTTCGTAATTACATATACATGTACAATGTTATTTCATTTACATAATGATATCATACCTAACAATGGGATTCTAACAACCCCATTAAACAATTATTATTTCGGGTGGGTATGTACCATTGCATCAAACTCAAACCATCCATTTAACATTTTCGTTAGAGATGCCTTAATGCCGCAAATATGTTAAACTTTATATATATATATATAGTAACAGTGGGTGATGTTAGCAAATTAGTAAATTAAAAATTATTACAATTGGACATTCGACACTTTTTTATAAGCTTAAATTTTAAATCTCTCTTTAAAAATATAAAGATACAACCGCTAGAATTATGCTCAATTTATCTATTTGAGAAGAATTAACTGTATATAAGATATTCACAATATAGGACACAATGCAAGACATTTTTGATATTTCAAACCATAATGTTAGCCATGTGTAGCGTACTGATCAATAAATCAACTTTACTTTCTTTCAATTGACAGAATAGAATAGACTAGACAATGTAAAAAATGTACTAGCTTAGTAATTGATTACAAATCACCCCCCTTGCTTCTCCAATAATATAGCCTATTTTTAAAACCAACGAGAAAATTAAGAGACTCCAAAGTCAATACCCAAGAACCTAAATTCATGAGAAATAATACTAATACATGTACCTACCTCATCCAATTCCAAATGAATATGGGTTGCATCAATGGTTACTCTACATGGCACTACATTTTCACTGCCTACGAAAAGCGAACAGCGCTCGTATAGGCCATCCTTTGGTGGAAGATTTAACAAACAAGATTTTCGAGCTGACACGATACGTTGATTGCTGATTAACCATTCCTGATCTTTCACCATCAACATAAGACGATGGTGGCGACCCAAAAGCTCCGAGACATATTTCATGTCTCCTTTGCCAAGAGCATGACGAACGCGAGTAGACGAGACTTGCCCTTGCTCCTTTGAATCACCAGAGCCTATATTTCTGGAGTCAAGGTTCTGATCCATGACAGAATTTATAATATATGCTGACATACCATACTTATCGCATAGCTTTACCAGCTCTGATGCATCACCAGCAGCTTTGTATCCAAACCGGTAGTTTTCACCTACCACATAAAAGTCATTTAGTTCAATCATTCAAGTAAAGTCGTTAGAAGAGATAAACACTCTGGGACTTGAAATAATGTCACCTGCCACAACGCCACGTAGTCCAAATTCCTTTGATAACTTCTCAACAAACTGATATGGGGTGAGGTGGCGAACTTTTGAAAATTCAACCTGGTACTCAGTAGGAATCATGTTACCACAGTATGGAGCCCAGGAGGAAAGAACCCGCTTCCGGTCAAATTTGGCAACTATGGGAGCCCTGCACAGAGAAATTGAAATCAAGTTTCTTTAACATCCCCAACCACCTGTTCTTTTTGAAATGGAATATCATAAGCAAAGGGCTACGGTGATGAAGATCCATTCCAGCATCATGCCAGCTGTTTTAAATGGTTATAATCAGCCCGAGAAGTCATTGAGTCTGACTTCAAACCTAACTGATTAATGATCTACAAGATTTTTTAAAGAGTAATTATTCAAGGAGTTTTCCTTCAAAAGTTTTATTTTTATATTTGTCGGGCATCCCACATTAGTTTGCGGACGATGTCAATATGATGAATTTATAAGATGCAGTAGGACACTTCTAACCTGGAGGAGCCTTTTGGGTTGGTGCCCAAAGGGAAAAACCAAGAGGCCAGCTGTTGGGCTGGGTCATAGTAGAAAATACTTTAAAGTGGAGACTGGGCCATGCATCTAACATGGTATGAGAGCCAAGGCGGGAATGTTGCATCCCATATCGATTGCGGACGATGCCCATATGGACTTATAAGATAGTGCAGGACACTTCTAACTTGGAGGCACTTTTGGGTTGGAGCTGAAGGGGACACAAACTCATGAGGCCAGTTGTTGGGCCGGGTCATAGCAGACAATACTTATAGATGAAGGCTAGGCCACGCGTCTAACAATATTTATTGGAAATCAAGCAAAATCTAGTGTAGAAATGAAGTCTAGGGCCAAAGGATATCTTCTCTTGCACTCACTACAAATATCCTACACGAATGAATGAAGAGGGTCCGACTTATGGATATTTCTTAGACACCATGCTACTGGGTGATTAATTTCCCTTTTCCGCAATTGTAGGGCTTGGGCGGGAAGAATTATTTTCTGAATCATAGTTATATAAATAATAATAATAAAGTTCTGAATCCACTACGTTGCAATGGTAGTAGAACATCCAGTCCTCAGCCAATCCAATTGCATCTATAACCCTCTCTATATGAAACTCTTTTTCATAACTTTAAAACACTTCCTAATATGAAGCCTTTACTTGAAACACACCATGAACAAACCCTACAACACATGTCCAAAATATTTTGAAACTACTATACACAACTAGCTCTTAGAACTTACTAAACCATAACTGAAATTGACTGAAGCAAATTAAGCATAAACAAGACTCTACTAAAACTACTAAATTGAATATGGATGGTTTACAGGCTCCACCTTGAAATTATTGAAATTTCTGATTTTAGCCACTTCCTTGAATTTTACTCTTTCTTGCTCGTCTTATAGGTTGCTTCAATTTACCAATAACTCTCCCTAAAAGATTATTCATCCCAATTGGGACTAATATGGCATCTAATGGATAGCTTATATCTGAATGAGGATTCTGAACACCATATAGGATCCAATGCTTCCTATCAAGTGATAATTGAAGAAGATTGCATCAATTTCCATGACTTGGATTTGGAAATTAGACAATTCTGCATGCAGATTTCATATCTAGCTGATATCTGAATTGGACGAGGGGGAAATTGGCCCAGCCAAACTAGTAGTTTACATTACACCTTTATCTTCGTAGCAGATTGAAAGCTACCCAAGTAGGTTTTGTAATGTTTACATTACACCTTTATCTTCGTAGCAGATTGAAAGCTACCCAAGTAGGTTTTGTAATGTTTTCTTGTGCTTTCCTGTTCTTTTGCACCTACTGTGGAGGTTTCCCCTAGCACCGTACTCTCCTCTTTGCTTCCTAAATCTATTCACATTTTATAAAATATATATATATAGAGACAGAGAGAGAGAGAGAGAATATATAGGACAATATCCACACCTAGGTTCCCAACCAAGTACTTCTGCCATTCCAACAAATGATATTTCCTGTTCTTTTGCACCTGCTGTGGAGGTTTCTCCTAGCACCGTACTCTCCTCTTTGCTTCCTAAATCTATTCACATTTTATAAAATATATATATATAGAGACAGAGAGAGAGAGAGAGAATATATAGGACAATATCCACACCTAGGTTCCCAACCAAGTACTTCTGCCATTCCAACAAATGATAAAAGAAATGGAACTCCAATCTTTGCCGCTTGGATTGCAAGTTCTCGATGACCAATGTGTAGGGCATCAAACTTTCCCAAAGCTACTATCCCTCCTGGTAAAGTATGACCAAGAAATCATAAATGACATGCTTAAAATAAAAGAAAACAAATTAATAACCAAGGGTCTTGCTAGCAAGTGTCCTAGGGCACAAGAAAAAGACAAAAATGATAAACATAACACTTTTCACTAATTTCAAAACACTTCATTGAAATTTTTTTTCAATTTTTTTCACCATTTCCAAAGAACTTTTTACACAAATTCCAATATGCAATAATGCACTAGGGACACTTGTTACCATTTGCAAATAACTAAAAGCAATCCTTTCCGTACTCAATCCATTCAAATTATTATAGCATTAAAAAATAAATAACTAAACATTTATGACATACAAAATACTTATGGTGCCAACAATCCCCTGATATTTAAAAGCAAACTAAACCCAACCACAACGAACACTTCAAGGTTGGCATAAGTAAGAAATGGGTAAACCAGTGCACACAAAATCATTCCAACATCTATTAAATGGAGGAATAAATTAAATAAAACAATACAGAAGCCTCCTGTTACACGAGACCAAAAAACAAAAGGGGACAACTAGAAGCTCTACATAAACTAATATAATCTCTCTCTAAGACTTTCCTTATGAAGGAAATTTCCGGCGGGTTGTGTTAGTTACCTGGGATGTTTCCGGTGAAGGCGGCTAATGGACCACGTCGGCGAATCCTTTTCCTTAGAGGACGGTCCTTTGAATTTGAGGAAGTGGCTGGGGATCTGAGAGGCCATCATCAATTGTCCATTGTGGAGCATGGGCAAGGACTACAGCGGGAGGTGGTGCTGACGGGGTATGAAGTACAATGGATAGGTACGAAGCTGCGGACAGCGTCCCGTATGGTCGATCGCTATTTCTTGGGTCGGCTAGAAGGGAAAAGATGGAGTGTGGCAACCTGGATTCGCGAGGAAGAGAATGGCGGCTCGTCGGTGCAGATACTGGTGACGGTGGACGGCAAAAGGAATCAGGTTTACCTTCCTTTGTCAGAGTTTCGGAATGGGTGGGAAGGGGTAGCGCTAGTAATTGAAGGATTCGATATAGGGGCTGGCCGTCTGCCAAAGGGTGGTGGGGTTAATGGTTGTAAGGAGGTCTTGGCTGTGAAAAGGGGTTTTCCAACGATTGGGGCGACTCGTAGCCCAAACAGTGGAGTTGAGGTGGTGTAGGGTGTGGCGGAGGAAGGGTGGTTTAGTTTACTGAACAGGGCGTTAGTGGGTAGGGTGGGTTTCAGGGGGGGTAAAGGGGTTAGCTTTTCAGCCATGACAGATTAGGTAAGGCGGTGGTGGAAGGAGGTCGGGGAAGTGGAAATTCGACCAATAGAGAGCCAAGATTACCTGTTTGTGATGCCAACACGCCGAAACAGTTATGCGACGACAGTGGGAGATTGCATGATGTGACTTGAATCTAGTAGGGTGGTCACCAACAATCTTGTGTCAGATGATAGTAGTGTCGGAATAGAGGCCCAATGCCTGGGTGAGGGTGGTGGGCCTACCCATACATCTCCGCAGCAAGAAGACGTACCGTACCATTGGCGACCGATGCGGCAGTTTTGTGGAGGTGGACGAATTGTCGGTGGACCTTGGGGTGGTCCACTTGCGGGTCAAAACTGGTGGCCACATCCCATCTAAGGTATTGGTGCGCTGGGAAAATTCATCATTTTCAATCCCTATCTAGCCGGAGGAAGGGTCAACGGTGGATGTTGAGATGTTGTCAAGCGAAATGAGGGGAGAATTGCGGTGGGAGAAGGAAGGTTGAGATTGGAGGCGTGATCGTCGGAATTGGTGAAGATTTGGGAGTACACCAGATTTTTCAAGATTTGGGGGCATTCAACGGCTGGCTCAACGAGCCTTGCCTTCTACAAGGGTGAGGAGGTATCGGGGCTGGGAGGCCCAAGGCAAGCAAGGTTTGGAACTGGGCCCAGTGGGCCAAGGCATTAAAGAGAGAGCCTATGGTAGGGAAGACAAAAGACCCGTAGAGGATGCTGAGATGTTGGGCTCTACTTCTTTAGGGTTAAAGGCCCATAATGAATTGGGTCATGACCCTGGACATGGGCTGAGGCTTCCCCTGTCTGGGTCCATTTTGCAATTGGTGGGTCAGGAGACAAATCCCCCAGTGAATCGGATTCTCGAATCTTTACGCACTAGTGTGGGGGAGCCCTGGCCGACGTCGACCACAACGGTAGATATGTCAGCGCGAACGGAGCCGGGGCCATCACCGACAAACGGCTTATTGGCAACTCTTGGAAATGGGTCATCTGAGAGGTTAGTGCACTCTATCGAAGGCCTTGGCAGCGTCAGTTTGACAATGGGCCCAAATTAGGTAGCTGCGACGTCAAGCGTGGAGGTAAGGACAGTGGGCCATCTGGACGATGAGGTGTGGAGGGCGTAGGAGGCTAATGAACTATCTTTTCGAGATGAGGTCGCCAATGCTGGAGATGGGGAGAGGCGAGTCAGGTTTGACCAGGATGATGTTCTGGTATAGGGAGCCATGGCTGAGGCCGATACAGAGGGTCGTGATGAATTGGCGCTGGTACTGCAGCCTTTGGCTGTGGATAGGGGCAACCAGGAGGGACTGATGGGTTAGATATGTCGGCACGAACGGAGTCGGGGCCATCGCTGACAAACGGCTTATTGGCAACTCTTGGAAATGGGTCATCTGAGAGGTTAGTGCACTCTATCGAAGGCCTTGGCAGCGTCAATCTGACAATGGGCCCAAATTAGGTTGCTGCGACGTCAAGCGTGGAGGTAAGGACAGTGGGCCATCTGGACGATGAGGTGTGGAGGGCGTAGGAGGCTAATGAACTATCTTTTCGAGATGAGGTCGCCAATGCTGGAGATGGGGAGAGGCGAGTCAGGTTTGACCAGGATGATGTTCTGGTATAGGGAGCCATGGCTGAGGCCGATACAGAGGGTCATAATGAATTGAGCTGGTACTACAGCCTCTGGCTATGGACAGGGGCAACCAGGAGGGACTGATAGGTCCAACACAGGTGCAGTTTGAGGACAGTAATGTCTTTGGAAGGAATGGGATACTTGCAGTGGAGGATATATCAGATTGGGTGTTGGAACATATAACTGAGGTTAGTCGATTATTGGGTCTATCATTCGAAGGGCATGAAGAGGAAGCCTTACGGTTATTTTCTACCGTGGAGGCGTCGTGGCAAAAAAGGTCTCCTAGTAACCCAATTGGTACAGTGGCAGAGACTAGGCATAAAGGGAAACGGGAGTTAAGGAATTTAGTGGGTTCAATCAATTATGAACAGGGTGGGGCAAGGGCTAATCGTGACTTACGTAGACGTCGGGGGGTTTCTTTGTTATTGAAATGAAGTTAAAAATTGTTATGAAATGTGCGGGGATTGAATGATAGGGACAAAAGGGTAGCAGTGAAGACAGTCTTGCGAAGTACGAAAGCTAATGTGGCATGCTTACAAGAGACAAAGATGGAGATGTTGGGGTTAGAGGTGGTGCGAGAAATTTGGGGAGGCCGATTTGTAGAGTAGTTACATTTGCCGGCAGTGGGCACGGCAGGAGGTGTTCTAATCTGTTGGTACCCGAAGGTGGTTGTGAAGAAAGAAAAGGAGTTGGGTAGCTTTTCAGTGTCTTCTCTATTTCGGTGTGTGGCGGATCAGTTCCAATGAGTGTTCACGGGAGTGTATGGCCCAGTGTGGATCGTGGGAGTTCTTTTCAGAGTTAGAGGCTGTGGCATTTCGTTGGTCAGTGCCTTGGTGTGTGGGGGGCGACTTTAACATGATGAGGTGGCCAACTAAGAGGGTGGGGAGTTCCCGAGAGTTAGGCTCCATGCAAAGGTTCTGTTCTTTTATTGATGAAATGCAGTTAATTGACATGAAGCTTCAGGGAGGGCGATTTACTTGGTCGAATGGGCAGAGTTTGTCTCGGATTGATTGATTTTTGATCTCCAGCGATTGGGAGGAACATTTTTTGGATGTTGTTCAAATTCGGTTGTCTTGTCCGGTGTCTGATCATTGGCCTCTTTTACTCGATAGTGGGGGGCTCCACAGTGGCCCAGTGCCTTTCCGTTTTGAGAACATGTGGTTGCATTCAGAAGCTTTCTTAGAGATGGTTCGGGGGCGGTGGAACTCTTATGCAGTTACAGGGTCGCCTAGTTGTATGTTGGCACAGAAGTTGAAATTGCTTAAAAGGGATCTGAAAAGCTGGAATAGGGAGGTTTTTGGCCGACTAGAGGGTCAGAGACAAGCGGTGGTGTCCTTACTATCTTCCTTGGATGAGTTAGAGGCTGAAGGAGGCTTATCGATGGATGATGTTGCTAGAAAGGAGGCGGCTAGACAGGATTATGTCCGTATTTCACGCTTAGAGGAGGTGAGTTTTAGACAAAGGTCTAGGTGTTTGTGGTTGAAGGATGGGGATCGTAACACAAAATTCTTCCATCGAATGGCTAATGCTCACCGTTGGATGAATCATATTAGTCAAATGCGGATGAATGGGCATGACCTGGTAAATGAAGAGGAGATCAAGGAAAGGATTATGGATTTCTATAAGAATTTGTTTCGTTCGCAAGAAGGGGAGTGGCGGCCAGGGCTAGAAGGGGTTCATTTTGATATGATTTCAACTAAGGATAGGGTGGCCTTGGAGCAAGTCATTACGGAAGAGGAGGTATTTCGAGCTTTGCGGGCCATGAGTGGGGATAAGGCTCCCGGTCCCGATGGTTTTACTATGGCTTTCTATCAGCACCGTTGGAGTGTGGTTAAGGCAAGCGTGATGGCGGCACTGGAGGCTTTTCTCGAGACTGGGCAGTTTGAGAAAAATCTTAATGCGACTTTTTTGGTTTTGATTCCGAAGAAAGGAGGGGCTGAGGACATTAGGGACTTTCGGCCAATCAGTCTGCTTGGGAGTGTTTATAAACTGTTGGCTAAGGTGTTGGCAAATAGACTTCGCGGGGTTTTGCAGACAATCGTGTCTGACTCTCAGAATGCTTTTGTAAGGGGTCGGCAGATTTTAGATGCAGTCTTGATGGCTAATGAATGTGTG